TTCTTCAGAAATGCATTTCTGAAGAAGGGTCTAGGTCCGAAACGTCAGCTTTCCTGCTCCTCTGATGCTGCTTGGCCTGCTGTGTTCACCCAGCTCTACACCTTGTTATCTCAGATTCTCCAGCATCTGCAGTTCCTACTATCTCATCTAATCCTTGGTTTGACATATAAATACTTACAATACCACCCACAATTGCAGGGAAATCAGTGAATGTGAAGAACTGTTTTATCCTGATAAGATCCATAAAGAGAAATTGTCCTATGTAACTCAGAGTCACACTAGCTGTCAGAAGAAGTAAGAATGCTGTGGATACCCCACACTCATGAGCAGACAGCCCACTGAAAAACAGTACTATTTGCAAATCTAAATACTTTTGGTCTAATGCATTTCTTATCATGCTGTGGCTTTTTGTTCTTTATCAGTTGTGACGGCAGTTTCCTAGTAACAAGGGTTTCGTAGTATTAAAAATGCTAATTGCAACTGCATGGACAGAAATAGATCATAGCAGACATTTTAACTGGCAGTATCCTAACCTCCTGCATTGGAAACACACAGTGTAAAATTAAATACAAGTTGTTTGATGCCATCACCCGATTGTGTGATGCTTTAGGCAAGAGGAGTCCAAGAAACCTATAGATTATATACTCCTTAACCTTAATAGAACATGTCACATTCTGTTGGAAACAGTTTATTTGTATTTTTAAATCATTTGGAAAAACCTGGGTAGCAATGTTTGTACTCTGTCAAAATTAATTTTTAAATGGGCATTTTTATTTGTTTTAGGTTCATTTGCTGGATTTCCCTAACATCGTGATCAAAGGATCTGAGCTGCAGTTGCCTTTCCAGGCTTGTCTGAAAGTGGAGAAGTTTGGTGATCTGATTTTAAAGGCAACTGAGCCCCAGATGGTGTTATTTAACTTATATGATGATTGGTTGAAGACCATTTCCTCCTATACTGTAAGTAAAATAATGCTTTTTTTGATGGGAAGTGAAATCAATACGTAAGTCAGTGACAATGGCTCTCATTTGTTTTGAACCCCTCTTCCTATTCCAAAATAATCTATTGCATGTTACAATTTGTACTAGGGAATTAAAATATCCTCCAAGCCTGAAACTACTTTTTAGTACCATTCTATATTGACCATTGTTAATGTATGCGGAGGCATGGGGATTGGGTTAGGAGATGTGGATAAAGCAAGAATAATTTCTTAATTCTTTCAGGCTTAGGGATCATAAGGAAAATTTACAAATCTACTGAATTTTGTAAACTGTAGTATGTAGGTACATTGAAATCTTCTAACCTTGTCCTCCGAGCCTCTGTTTAAACAAACAATAACTCACTGCAACACCCCGGAGCTGCGCAAAAATGAAGAGGAATACCTGTACACAGTCTTTGCAAACAATAGTTATCCTAACAGCTTCATCTGCTGATGTCTGGCAACCAAACAACACCAAGAAGACACTGTATGACCCAACACACTGGCCACCCTACCCTATGTTAGAAACATATGAGAGCTGACTACAGGACTCCTACGACCTCTTAAATAAAGATGGCACACAAACCAACAGCCTCGCTTTGCCAGTTACTCTCAAAGACAAAAGACCCCGTACCCACCATGTGCAGGACAAATGTGATAAATAAAATACCATGCAGCAACAGCGAGAAACATAACATGGGACAGAGGGGCAGGAAACCCACCATCAGGATACATGAACACCAACTCACAGCAAATGGCACAACCAACTCTCCGTAGTTTCAATACACTTCGATGTAGAAGGACATCAGTTTAACTGGGGCAAAGTTACAGTACTAGGTCAAGGAAAATAAAGACAAGCACGAGAATTCCTGGAGGCCTAGTTTTCAACCACCGAAGCAATTAACAAACGTTGAAATAGACCCCATCTACATACCACTATGGTACAAAACTAGAAACAAGACTGCCGATCATGACAGACCGGAACAACAGCACTCAACAGAGGCTATACAGCACTGACAATGTCACCTAGAAGGGAGACAAACGTTTGCATGAAAACCAGTCAGTTCAGCGAACCAACCAACAACTTTTACAAGTCTACCTATTAGCTTGTTAGCATCTTAAGTCAAGCATACATTCTTGATTGTTTTTATGTAGATACTAATCCTGCTTTTGTATGAAGTAAGGGAAGAAATGCTTTATTTTTTAAGTCTGTATATTTTCGATTCTAGAACCCTTCTGCATTTCTGAATTGACTTGACTGTTCATCGGTTCCCCACTATGTATTTAGATTCAGTTAATTAGATTGAATGAAGATGGCTCTCTAGGATTCTGCAACCTTCTGATTCTTCTTAATGATCAAGGCCTCAATTACATTAGCAGCATTTATTTAATTGGTTTAGTATTACATATCTATATCTTGAATGTTTTACCTATTGGCACTGAAGTAGTATTACCTTTATTTGCGTCTTTCCCAGACATCATCTTGGCATATTCTTCAATGCTGAACTTCCTCTCTCTCACACCCAGTATAAAGGCATTGTTTTTGTCCACCTGTACAACATTACTACTTCATATCTCTGTCAAAATCTTGAGGCTAAAGTATTCACACGGTTGGCCACCATTACATTTGATTTTGAGCCCTGCACCCTGTATTTTGTCAATAGCTTGCAGCAAGCACATCATTATTTTCTGTAAATATCACTCTTGTGTCAGTGTATCTTGCTCTCGCTCTCAGAAGATTGCATGGATTCATCTCATTCGAATTTAGTGAGCTTTAGCACCTTGCAATTTGCATATTTTAGCAGAGTTATTGAAATGCAACAGAAATTGATAACAGTAAACTACTATTTTGGTAAGCAGAACTAAATGAACAGCTCCTGTGGCACCTTTAACTGCAGATACTATAAAAGAGAATGAGAAGAACTGTTTTATTTATCTAAATGGATTATCTGATTAATGAGAAAACAGATTCCCATACTTAAGTTCACATTGGTAGTGTTTAATTACCTGATGTAGAGTGCAAACTTCATGATCATTAAAGCATGTTCTGTCAACTTAACCACAGAGAAACCTTGATTGTATATTTGGACGAGTCCAAGCTTAATGACTGCCATATGAGTATACAGGTACTGTTCTGATTGGATAGCTTACTATCACAGAGCATCAGGAGCACAAAATGGAAAAGTTTACTTTTTAAAGAACTAATGGCCAAAAGGAAAATGGACAGCTTGTGGAGAGAAATTGGGGCATAAATACAAATGTAATTGTTAAGCAGTAAGACTTGAGAGAGTGTTGTGAATGGTATACAAACATGGCAGAGTTTTTGACATAGAACAGTAATTGCCATGCCTTTCTTCTATGGAAATGACAATTCAGTCTAATTTGGTGACAATGTGGTGAATGCCACGCGATCATTATCAATTGGGAAGCCTGAAGAATTCGCAGACACTTTTACTGATGCAAAACATTTAATGTAGTACATTTTCGAAAACCAACATGTAAACTTTTTCCCTTCTTTTCCCGTACTGGTGTGTTTGTAGGCATTCTCTCGTCTGATTTTAATTCTTCGAGCACTACATGTGAACAATGATCGTGCAAAAGTCATCCTGAAACCGGACAAAACCACGATAACAGAACCTCATCACATCTGGCCAACTCTGACTGATGAAGAATGGATAAAAGTGGAAGTGCAGTTGAAGGACCTTATTCTAGCTGACTATGGCAAGAAAAACAAGTGAGTGACGGTGGCAGTACAAGTGAAAGAGAACCTTCCTACTGTTTTGCAGCATGTGTTTTGTTAGCTTGTTGAAGTCACAGCAGACTTTGATGTTGATGCTTGTGCTTTGAAGCTTCACAAAATGATTATTCTTTAAATTGATTGACAAATTTACAGTATCAGTGGTCTGCCTGGATGATATTTTAGAATTTTCAAGATCAGTTGCAACCAAACTTGGTTATCGACTAAACTGTTTGTGTTCTATATTATTTCCAATGATAGCAACGAGTTCTTACTAATTATGAGCCATGTTGTATTTAAATTTCCCTGTTATTTTGTATTCAAGTGTAAATGTGGCATCTTTGACTCAGTCTGAGATTCGTGACATTATTTTGGGTATGGAGATCTCGGCACCTTCACAACAGAGGCAACAAATTGCTGAAATTGAAAAGCAAACCAAAGAGCAATCTCAATTGACAGCTACCCAGACACGCACTGTAAACAAGCACGGTGATGAAATCATCACTTCAACAACCAGTAACTATGAGACCCAAACCTTCTCATCCAAAACTGAGTGGAGAGTCAGGTATGATTTGTTTTTAGCATTAATGTATGGAGTAAACTGTAAAGTTAAACTTACAACCCATTTACTGATGAACTTGTTTTGCAGTCAAAGTGATTTGAGAATGATAACTCCAGTATTCCTGAGTTTATTGAAAATTAACTAGGTTTACACGTCATCATCTGAAATAATGAAGTACAATACCCTTTCAAGATTTTGGGTTGCGATATCCCCCCCGTTTTGAAGTTTCATATAAAGTTCCATGAGAGAAGAGGCACTCAAGATTAGAAAATGCAGATAACTTAGTTTTAAGATAATGGTGTAGAACCAGGTATGAATGAGCCATTGTCTTAAGTGTACCTTGCAGAATTTTATGACTTCTGAAGGTGATTTTTTTTTGGGGGCAAACCAAACCAGATTTTGTGGTCTGTAAATGTAGAAAGCATTGGCAGGTCTACCCAAAATTGAAAGTACTTGCGGCATAATATTTGTAAAACTCCCCCCTCACCACAAATAATTATTTTATATAGTACAAATATAATTTTTAAGATGTTGGAATAAACAATGTTATTGTATATCTCTGCCCTTTGCATTTGTTGCCTTTGCATAAGTAATACACTTCTCTTCATTGACTAGGTGAGGTGGTAGCTAAAGTCTTGTAGTTTAAAGCATAGAATGTATCTCATTGCTGTATCTCGTATGATAATAGACTAAAACAATAAAAGAACATTTCTCCACATCACAGATTACAGTTTAAGGTGTTTAAATTTTTTAAAACGCTGGTGAGTTTACAGGATGTGGGCATCTCTGGCTAGACCAGCATTTATTGCCTAGAGGACATTTAAGAATCAACCACATTGTTCTGGGTTGGGGGTCATTTGTCAGCCAGACCAAGTAAGGATAGCAGTTTTTTTTTTCCCTGAAGGATGTTCATGAACCAGGTGGGTTTCTAGAATAGTTGACAAGATTGACACCATTAGGCGAGCTTTTTAATTCCATACTTTACTGAATTTAAATTTCACCATCTTCCATGGTGACAGTCATACTCATGTCCCCCAGAACGTGGGGTTCTGAATTATTGGCCCAGTGACATTACTGCTGTCACCCCCCACCCCATACCATTCCAGCTTACTGCTAAGTTAACCACATGCATCAAGTTCACCAGTAGCTATAAATGTAGAAGACCGTGATGTCCTTTTAATAATATTGGAAAATACAATTTGTAAATATTGGGAATAAACATTTAAAACATAAGATAGTGTTTGGAGATTTGGGTGAGGTAATGCATTATCTTTCCAGTAGGTGAAATGTACAAGATTTGACTTAGCATTATATCACAAAGTCCAAGAACCCCCTTCCTAACCACACTGTGTGTACCTACCCTCCAAGAATTGCAGCAGTTCAAGAAGGCAACTCAACACCACTTTTGCAGGGGCAGTTACAGATGGCCATAAATGCTGGCCTAGCCAGCAATGCCCACATCCTATGAATGAATTTTAAAATGTGAAATGATGTAAGCTATGAAGTGAATTGAAGAGGCTAATATATGAAAGCTTAGTATAGCTTGGTGTAATCTGATCATTAACTTTTGAACCTATGTTAATATAATTGCAATGGACAGAACTGCTCAAGTGAAAATTTCTGCAGTCACAGGATTACTGAATGGTAGATCAGCTCATGCTCCCTGTCATTTGTTTTCTTTATCCTGCACAGAGCAATATCTGCTGCCAACCTTCACCTACGTACCAATCACATTTATGTTTCCTCTGATGACATCAAAGAGACTGGTTATACTTACATTCTGCCAAAGAATGTGCTGAAGAAGTTTATTTGCATTTCAGATTTGAGAGCACAGGTAAACTCCCTTATAGATCCAGCAATTGATGCATACCCCTAATTATCCTTGAACTAAACGGCTTGCTGGGCCATTTCCGAGGACCCTTAAAGATTCAACCATATTGCTGTGGGTCTGGAGACATACGTAAGGCAACTGGCTGAAGACAACGGATTTCCTTTCCCAAAGGGCATTAGTATATCACATAGGTTTCTACAACATCATTTGTTTTCTGGTTATCATTACTGAGACTAGCTTACAATTCCACATTTCATTAATTTCAAAATAGTGCAGCTGCCATGCATTAGCCTGGACTTCTGGATTACTAGTCTGGTTATGTTACCATTACACCCATCTCCCTAATAGATTAATAATTTCTTGAAAAATAATTTAAAGCATGTAAGTTCACCAATTTATACCACAGTCTACAACATTAGAAAATATAGACAGCATGAGCTTGGAATGTTTCTGACTTTCAGTCCTTTGAACTATCACTTTGAATTGTGTTGATTGAAAATTGTTCTTTTTTTTCTTAAAACACTTTAACTAGTATGAAAGGGAATTTAACTTAAATCCAAAGCTGAAAAACACTATTTTATGACCTAAGTTTAATGTTAAGGGTTACAAACCACCTGTAACAACCATAACAAAGAATAAATATTAGCATCTACATGTGACAAGATTTTAGTTTAAGAAATTTTTCAACTCTCAAATTATGATGTGTGGCTCTGCATATTACCAAACAAAACATTACATTGATAATATCAATTAATTAAATCAAACAGATGTTAAGCTTTTAGATATTTTCATATTTAAAACTTATTGCATTACCAAGTCAGAATAGAAACTTCAGTTTTCTTTCCATTTTCCTGGAAGCAATGACCGACTCTTAGAATGCACACTGTAGCCTTTCATCCAGGAGTAAATGGTTTAGTCAACCACAAAGCATTGCATCTAAAGTCCAATCCTAACGAGTGTGCAGTCCACCTCAGTTCGCGTGAATAGTGGTTAGAATTTGGATTCGGGTTCTTTTTCTCGTGTCCTGTCAATCCCTAGTTTGGAAATATGGTGTTAACTGTTGTATTGTCACCTGTGCCTAAATGAGTTATCTGCTGCCCAATGAAGGGAGTTGGTTGTTTTTACATTTGGCCTAAATATAAATGTTTATAGAGTGCAGCTAGAAACTGTTTATGCCAGAGTTAATTAAATAATTTTATGCTATTCATTAATATATGGATGAGGAAAGTTTGGTTGAAGTATTGATTTGGAATTTGCGGAGTTTGCATTTGTCAAATATTTTCATACAAGATCCAAGTTTCACCTAAAAGCTATATTGAAAATTCAGTTGATTATGGCCGAATGGACTGCAGTAAAAATGTTTCCTTCCGTAGATTGCAGGATATCTGTATGGTGTTAGTCCTCCAGATAACCCTCAAGTGAAGGAAATCAGGTGTATTGTGATGGTGCCACAATGGGGAACCCATCAGACTGTGCATTTGCCTAACCAGCTGCCACAACATGAATATCTGAAGGTACAGATTCTTCTTGGTTTATAAATGTAATAGAAATGATTTATTCAGCATGAATTCTGTATACTTTCACTACTTGATTTGTAATATATTATGAACATTTGTTCATTTTCCTGAAATGTGCAGGATTTTAACCGTATAGAAGTACATTTTAAGTAATTGGTTGTTCAGTTTGTTTTTAATTGTATTAGAGGCAGCAATATATATTTACATAAATTAAATTAAACATATTCTACCTTTTAGGAGTCTTTCTTGATAATGCATTTTATTCATGTAAATATTAATATGAAATTGTTTCTTTTAGGAAATGGAACCTCTTGGTTGGATTCACACTCAACCCAATGAGTCTCCTCAGTTGTCACCTCAAGATGTCACCACCCATGCTAAAATAATGGCTGACAATCCGTCTTGGGATGGAGAAAAGACTATCATCATAACATGCAGGTAAAAAGACAGGCTGTTCATGGTCAACTTAAATGTCATGGCACGTGGAGGTAGGATTTCTTGTGTGTCTAGATTCACAACTTGCAATTGACAAGTAAATAGAATTTGGCAACAGAGCTTCTTAATTGTGCCTCACAAGGAATTCTTTTCTATAATGTTCTACAGCGATTAGTCTTTACCAGAACAAAATTTTGCAATTATTTCTTTCAAATATCCCTTTATAATGTGCAATGATGTAGAAATTAGCAAATCTGTTGGCATTTTCTGTATTATTTGAAGTGACTCAAATGGGTGAAACTGTTCAATTGTTATTATTTTCACAACTTGATCAGTTAGAGCAGAGTGCTTTTATGTACTTAAATTGTTAATTTTCTTTATGAACTAAGTTACATTATTAAAAGTTGTATTGTATAACTATAATAATGAAAAAAATCTATGCCAAAAATGTATTGAATTCTCTTATCCATAACTAAAGTAAGCTTAACTGGCATAGTATTTACATTTTAACTAATTACATACTCAGACTAAATATTGCACTTCTATTTTCACTTTTAAAGTTTATTTTAAGTCCAGTTTTTGAGTTTAGATGGAATTCCTAAGATGTACCAAAATGTGAAGAATTAGTACTTAACAGACAAATATTAGTAAAGCTCAACAATACACGAAGATTGGCAATGGTCTGAGAAGAGAACTTGTCAGTGAAAAGGTTAGAATGTAAGATGATGATGGTTTGAGAACACGTCCCACGCATTTATCTGGTAGGTAATATATAGTTTAAATTTTATTCAGCTTTACTCCAGGTTCATGCACACTGACAGCATACAAGCTTACTCCAAGTGGATATGAATGGGGAAGGCAGAACACAGACAAAGGAAACAATCCTAAGGGATACCTGCCTTCCCACTACGAAAGAGTTCAGATGTTGTTATCAGATAGATTCCTTGGCTTCTTCATGGTCCCTGGCCAGAGTTCCTGGAATTACAACTTCATGGGTAAGAATATTTTTATCCTTTTTTAGATATACGAGTTGCGTTGCACCAGTCTTATTATATGCTGCTTGGCAGCTGTACCAAATTCAAGCCCAATATAATAAACATCAATCTTTGTTTGCACGTTGTTGTAATGATTAAAAAGAACATTCATAAGTCAGGCCTTTCTGCCTATCATCTTCTCTAATACGAGGATATGGTATCATAGACTGCACCATTTACTTATACTTAATGTGGCAATGTTGAGCCTCAACTAGCAAGCCTGGAGAGATGTGGGTGAAGAAAGTACTCAGCAATGTTCAATCTGATCCTCTTGTATATGCATTTCCAGGAAAGGTCATTGATCATAAGCAATAGAGTTAAGTCTCTGGTCAGTGTTTCTTTGCTAACTTGCTGTATATCTGAGGACCAAACTTGGGTTTCAACTGGGAATTAAACATAAGGTTTCCTGCTTTAGTTGGCTTACATTTTCTCACCAAGACTATTGTGTTTATTATGTTATTGAGACTTGTTTCCTAGGATCCCCAAACCCACTTTGTTTGTGGGAAGCTCAAATGCTTTTTATAAAGCATATAAGTTGAAATAAACCTGCTTAGGATGAGTAGACCAAAGCCTCTTCGCCTTTTCATTTCTTTTACATTCTCGCCACTTAAAGAAAACAATGATTTTCCCATGCAGTTCCTCACCTAGAGTTCCCTTCAGTTTGTATTGCTCCTGTCCTCTCCACCCGACCCCACCCCTGCCAGAATTTCTATGCATAGTGTCCCCTGGTTGAAAGAGCAGCAGTATGAGGTGGGGCTGGCATCTGAGGAATCCCATATATGTAGGGTATGGACGCAGAGCTGTAATTCAGATAATTTAGGTTTACATGGTGCTTTTATCTTTTGTTCAAAGAAAACAGTGTTTAATGTTCACATTTAACAAATTGTACCTCAAACGACCTTACTGCACACCTTTTTCAAAGGATGCATTTTATCATAACCCACTGATTAGACCTGCATAACACAATTATTTTTCACTTTTGGGACATTTTCGAGCTTGTCAGTTCGAAGTGTATTAACAAAAAGAAAACTATGTAAAACATGTTAAGAAGCTGTAATAAATTTTGATGTTTGATGATTCCTTGTTTTACTTCTATCAGAAGATATAATTGTTAAATCTGCTGGCATGTAGCTAGTATCAAAAGTTGATAGAACCTGATACATACTCTACTCTAGATTTGAAAGAATCCAAAGACTACCGTTAAGTGCAAAAGTTTTAACGAATGTAACTTTTGTCTAGACCACTAAGTATTTCATACCAGGTGGAATTATTTTTCAATTTTGACACTTGAAGCAGTCTCCTAGATTAAATGTTTTAACTTTTTCATTAGGCGTTCGCCATGATCCCAACATGAAATATGAGCTGCATTTGGCCAACCCTAAAGAGTTCTACCATGAAGTTCACAGACCATCTCATTTCTTGAACTTTGCTTCGCTTCAAGAGGGGGAGATCTACAATGCAGACAGAGAGGACATGTACTCTTAGAAAATCAAGAGAAATTTACAATGGAACTTCTGTACTGTTGATATTCAACAAATGAATATAAGTTCAGTTTATGGTCTCTGATAAATTCCAGATTTTGTTTGTAGACTGTGTTAACACCAAATTTTGTGATATCTGTGAAATATAGTAGCTTTTATGTTTAAAAATTGCTTGAAACTATGGTATCTACCCATGAGCTGAAAGTTTTAAATGCGCTAGTATATCTGTAATTTTCTGATGTGCAGTGATGTCTACACTGTAGAAGAAATTAAAGCTTAAATAATTTTTTTTAACTGACAGTGGAATTTGTTTTGAAGGGTTCAGAATTCAATAAAGTGGTGAACATATTATGAACATTACTGGCTGGGAAGTGACCTTCAAAATAGATGGTTGTGCCTGTTCTGAAATGCACAGTCACTTCTGCTAGACTTGGCTGCTGGTAGAAAATGTGATTATCCCTAGAGTAGTACATTATGCAATTGTCAGGATGATGAAGGTCCTGTTTGAAAAATTGTAACATATTTAATTTAAGCCTATTTTCTAAATAGATTACTTTTGAGTGACTGAAGCAGTCCCTGTCTTCAAAAAAGCAAAACTTGGACAACATCAAAACATGTGACTGAATTAGCTGCATAAAGACTGATTACAAAAACTCATCAGCGCCTGGGAATTGCAGCAACTAACTTGGCTCCTAAATCCCTCAAAGTCTGCCTACCATCCACAAGGCACACATCTTGTATGTGATGGAATAAGCTATGCTTTCCTAGATAAATGCTGGTCTAAAAATGGTCATGATATTCAATGCCATCCAGAACAAAGCAGCCAACTTGAATTGGCGCTCCATCTACCACCTTAAAAATTCACTCCTTCCACCACTAACAACAGTGTACATAATATACGTTGCATTACAGCAACTTACCAAGACTATTTCAGCAGCACCCTAAGTTGAGACTTCTAACCATCAAAGGACAAAGGATGATAGACACATAGGAACACTACCACCTGCAAACTCCCCTATAGGTCACGTACCATCCTGATTTAGAACTATATCACATTCCTTCACTGTATCTGTGTCAAAGTCCTGGAAATTATTCATGCATTACCTACACCAGATGGACTACAGAAGTCCAATGAGGGGCTCCCCACCATCTTCTCAAGGGTCCTATCTGTCCCCTTTAATATCTCCAAAACGCAACCATATAATGTGTCCTTGCAATTTAACCCATGCACTCCATGCATCATTCTGGCAAGGTTACGCTGCACTCCCTCCAAGGCCAATAATATCCAAAACACTAATCAGAATATTTTTAGTTGCAACATGCGTTCTATTGCTCTAAATGTTGAAGGGCAGCATTTCATCAGGCTTTTTCATTATTTTTTGTTCCTCCGTGTTATTTTAATGATTAATGTATATAGACCTCTTAGTCCCTTTTGACCTCTGCAGCTCCTAACTTTTCACCATCCAAAGTGGAAGATCTCACTTGACTACAATGAAATCCACCTACTTCTGTTTTGAGCATTAAGTTACATATTGCTTTCATCTGCACTGTCTGCAATACAGCCTATCTTTTGGGATATTGGTAGCTTTAGATATGTGTCTTTTCTGCCATGTAGGTGTCAATAAATAACAAAATAATGAATGCATCATATGCTTCCAGTAACAATATCTAGCTTATCCCTACTGTGTGCCATTGTCAATTTCCAAATCTATTCAAAATGACTGTCCCATTCTGTATGCTTCAACTTTAGTTAACAGTCTTATGATGGACTTTACCAAATACCTTGTCCATAGAAATGACATTCACGCCTGTCCATGACTTTGTCACCTATTTATAAGCTATGAAGAACATTTTACCAATCTGTGTTGGTTGTCTCTTAGCTGATTTTTTTTCAATGAGTTCTGTGGCTCTACAGACTTTTGTAATTTCCTGACATCAGATGTTAGGGTAACTGGTCTATAAATTCTCTGATTTCCCTGTTGCAGGTTTCTTAAATAACAGTGACATGAGCAATTTTTAAAACACTTGCTAAATTAAGAGAATTTTGGAAGATCAATGTTCTGACATCTGCAGTTATCTTCAATACATTCATGAGAAAGTGGTAACATTGGCTGGGCTGGGATTTATTGCGTATCCCTAGCTGCACTTCAGAAGTTGGTGGTGAGCTGCTGTCTTGAGTCACTGCAGTCCATGGGCTGCAGTTAAACCCACAATGTTGTCAGGGAATTCTGGATTTTGACCCAACGACTATGAAGTAATGAAGTATTCCAAATCAGGATGGCGAGTTGCTTAAAGGGAGTCTTGCAGGTGGTGTTCCATATATACGTTGACTGTGTCCTTCTAAATGAGAGTTGTAGGTTTGGAAAGTGCTATGTCAGGTTTTGGTTCTTCCCTACTTGTTTAAAACTTTAGATCCAAACCATTTGGTCATCAAGATTTGTCATCTTTTAGTGCTATTATTTTCTTAATTACTGTTAATTCAGTTATATTAATTTTTGTGAGCTCCTCTCTCTAGCTTCAATGTTAGTTTTCTTGGGATGCCTAGGATGCTATTCTATTCTTCAGGTTTACCTAGATGTGTAGAGCTGCTATTTATGTGTCTGTTGTTTCCATATTCCAACTTTATTATGTTGCATTGCCAGTTTTAAGGGGCCCATATTTCTCTCAATAATCCTATTTCTCCCTAACATAATTGTAAACATTATGCTGATTTTTGATATTTTAGCAAATTCCTTTTCATACATCTTTCTAAATTGTTTTGTCAACTTCTACTGTTCTTTGTATCTTTTCTATTCACCTGGTTATGTACTTTATTTTATATTGTGCTATTTTTCGTTTTGTTTTATGTTGTCTCTTGCCTCCTTGTGACTTTTTTGTAGTGGGAACAGCTCTTGCTCCTTGGGTATAAACAGATTCACGACGTGTTCTGTTTTTGAATGCCTTCCACTGATCTATCTTTTTAACCATTAGCAAGTTTCCTTAGTTCAGCACAGTCTCCATTACATCCTGTTGATGTCAACTTTGTCTAAATCTAAAAGCTTAATAGCTGTTTTGTACTTCTCACTTTCAAATCCAGTATTGAACTCAATCACATTATGCTTGCTGTTTGATAAATGTACTCACAGTTAGGGTGCTAGAAGCATTTGGGTATTGTTTATTAGTAAAACTAATAGGGCACACCCTCTATTAGTTCAAAGACATTACTGCAGAAAACTACCCTGGACAGCGCTGACTTTCTGACATTAGTTCAACTGCTTATTCCAGTCTATAGTGGAAATTAAAAATCCCCATTTAAAACCATTCTGCCTTTACTATGTACTTGTCTAATTTCTATTCTGCTATTTCATAACTTCTACCAGGGGATCTATACACCATTCCCACTACACACAAGCTCTTTTCTTCATATTAATTCAAACCATAAATGTTGGATTACCTGTTATTATATTTCCTCTGAATGGATTTCATACTTAATTATTAACATTATTCCTCCATCTCTAATTGATTCCCTCTGTTTGTACTTATGACTGGTCCCAGTCTGCATTTTGCTTCAATAATAGATACTACGTCATACCCTCTCAAGTTGAATTTGCATCTACATTTCATTCAAATTCTTCCTTGTACTTCATGCATTCTGTTATTCGCATTCATTTTAATTAAATTTTACACCAAAGAACTTAGAGCATTAAAAAGATATTGGGGAAATAAGTATTAATTTAGATATCTCAGGAAAACATAGAAACATAGAAGATAGCAGGAGGAGGCCTTTTGGCTCTTTGAGCCTGTTCTGCCATTTATCACGATCATGGTTGATACATCCAACTCAATAGCTTAATCCTGCTTCCTCCCGATAAACCTTTGATCCCCTTTGCCCAAGTGCTATATCTGGCTGCCTCTTCAATGCATTCAATGTTTTGAGGTTGCAGACTATGTTCCCTGCAAGCTTACTTTTGTACTATATTTTCCCCTTCTTAATCAATCCCTTGGTCCTTTTTTGCTGAATTCTAAACTGCTCCCAATCCTCAGACTTATTATTTTCTTGACCAATCTGTATGCTTCTTCCCTGGATCGGATACTGTCTCTAATTTCCTTTGTAAGCCATGGATTGGCCCTCATACCATTTTGCTTTTGTGCCAGACAGGAATAAACAGTTGTTGCAGTTACCCCATGTGTTCCTTGAATGTTTACCCATTGCCTATCCACTGTCATCCCTTTTAAGTAACTCTCCCCAATCTATCAAGGCCAACTCACGCCTCATATCTTCATAGTTTCCTTTATTAAGATTCAGCACCCATGATAAAAAGTTCTATCATGTTATGGTCACTCATCCCCAAGGGGGCTTAGCTAGATTGGCAATGATTCCCTTCTCATTACACAGTAGCCAGTCTAAGATGGCCTGCTGTCCAGTTGGAAGAAAACCATCCCGTATGCAATCCAGGAATTCCATCTCTGGCATTGTGGCTAATTTGATTTGCCCAATCTATGTGCAGATTAAAATCACCGATATTCCCTTATCACATGCATCTCTAATTTCCTGTTTAATGCCATTTCCAACATCATCACTGCAGTTTGGGGGTCAATACATGACACCCACTAATGATTTTTGCTCCTTGGTATTTCTTACCCATATAGACACCACATAATTACCTTTCTCAATATCATGTTAATTTTTTCTTTAACCAGCAATGCCATCTACCACCTTTCCCTTTTTGCTTGTTCTTCCTAAATACTGAATACCCTGGGACATTCAGTACCCATTGCTGGTCACCCTGCAGCCATGTCTCCATAATCCCAATTATGTCATACCCATTTACATCTATCTGCGCGATTAGTTCATTCACTTTATTGCAAATGCTCCGTGCATTAAGGCACAAATCCTTCAAGCCTGTCTTTTTAACATTGTTTGTCTTGCTCTTATTTTTCTTAATAGCCCTGTTAGACAGAGATACCAAGGTCAAAATTCAATCACTTTTCTTACTGCCTTTTCTACCTTTTGTTTCTGTTCTTGTTCTCTCCTTCTCTGACTCCTTATGTAGGTTCCCATCTCCTTGGCATATTAATTTAAACCCTTCCCAGCTGCTCTAGCAAACAGTTTCCCAGGACATCAGTCCCAGTCCTGCCCAGGTGTAACCGGTCCAATTTGTATAGGTCCCACCTCCCCCAGAACTGGTTCCAATGCCCCAGGAATCTGAAACCCTCCCCTAACACCATCTTTTCAGCCATGTATTCATCTGATATGTCCTATCATTTCTACTCTGACTAACATGTGACACTGGTAGTAATCCCGGGATCACTAC